TGCCCTGCCCTCGCTTACTGATGTCACACGCCTCGGTCACGACACTTGTGGCCGATGCCATCCGCGCCTCTGCGGCGGGCGGGGCGGATTTTTCTCAAAACGAGAGAGCTTCGGTTGAGAGAGGGTCACACCGACTTTGAAAGCGGCCTCCGACAAGAATGTTGCACAACTTCGACAATCTGCGGATCTCCACGACAGGTCGCGGCTTTCAACTTGTCTGGGGTCAACATGACGTGCCAGGCGCCCTGGTGGTGAAAAAGATTGCCAAGTCGCCGAGTGGCTTCGCATGCTATCACACCAGTCCGTGACGTGAAAGGCCCCCGCCTTCTCCGACTCCATCTCCGCCTCCAGCGAACTCGCAGACTTCTTGGCCTCCTCCACCTTGTCGTGGAGCCTAGCAAACAGTCACATCCAAGTGAACCGGCTCCGCGGTCAAAAGGGGGCCGAACCCTTGCACCAATCCGTTGTGTATATTGCTATGAAAGGGGGTACCAAAGCATTGATGCGCACAGCTTCCGCATCAAAAAAATCCGAGTGGCCATCATCTTGGCTTCCACTCCCGACGCCACATACTTGGCAACCACTCTCTGTTGTGTACTCTCCCTCTTTTCCTGAAGTCTGCGATGACGAGAACAAACTGCTGGAACAACCCAACCACAGTCTCCACAGTTCCAAAAGGTCCTCACAAATATTCCCACGGGTGACAAAAGGTCAGCTGCCGGAGCGGATCGAACGATTCCACACAATCCGCCTGCCCGCCATGTCCTGCAAAGCCTCTAAGATGAAGCCACAGGTCCTCAGCATGGCTCAAGAGAAGGCAGTCGTCTTCTATTTGCAACCATCTCCCGGTACCGGTACCGATACCGGTGCCGGTACCGGCTCGTTTTCTGGCGAGAAAGGAACCCCACATCGGCCCCTGATCTAGGAAGTCCCCCAACTGGTATGTTGGCTCCATGTAGAAAAGTACACACGGCGGGAGTGTCTCAAGCGGTTTGGAACGATATGGGACTGCGCGAAAAATCGAATAACAAGGGTCCTCAGCCTCCTCTCGATTGTGACGCTTTCCCATGCCTGGATGTGTTGACAAATGCACCGAGCGTCCCTTGCTACGTTCCTGGTACAAGTTAGGAGTCCACATCTCTTTCAGGTCTTACGCCTGTCTTACGCCGAACCTCCGGAGCTTCCCAGAGCCAGCAAGGCTAAGGTCTTCGCTGAATCTGGGCCTTGTGTCTGTTCTCGGCCACAGTGGACAGTGCTGCAGGCGCCTCAGTCGAGCTTCGCACGAAGCCCGAAGCCAAAGGTAGGCGCTATTCGAAATTGAAGATCGCCCTTGATGTTTCCAAAATCCTGTGGCATGTTCATTCTCAAGCCTCCTTCCCAGTCCTTCCCATTACCACGTGGAAGGGATGCGCGGATCCTGAAGCTCCAAAATTGGAACCGCTCACGACGTGTCTGCGCCATCCCCGCTTCCCACTTCGATGTCAAACTCCCATCACACCTCTCCAAGGCTCCAGCTCCATCTGCAAGCATGCAGCGAGCGGACTCCGGCACCTACATATCCAGCGCCGGGGCGCTCCCATGTATGTGCAAATATGTAGTGTGTATGTACGTATGTACGTATGTACGTATGTACGTATGTACGTATGTACGTACGTACGTACGTACGTACGTACGTACGTATGTATGTATGTTTGTATGTTTGTATGTTTGTATGTTTGTATGTTTGTATGCAACGCAACGCAACGCAACGCAACGCAACGCAACGCAACGCAACGCAATGCAATGCAATGCAATGTAATGTAGTGTGGTGTAATGTAAGGTAGTATGTATGTATGTATGTATGTACGTATGTATCTATGCATCTATGTATCTATGTACGTATGTATATAGAGATATACATACAAAAATGTACATGTAGGCAGGTAGGAAGAAAGGCGAGTAGGTAGGCAGACATGCAGGCAGGCAGGCAGGCAGGCAGGCAGGCAGCAATGCACATATGCATGTGCATGTATGCATGTAGGTAGATGTACGTGTGTATAGATCAAGTAAAGAATGTAGGCATGAATGTATCCATGTATCAAAGTGTCTACGAGTGTATGTATGTATACATACACATATGTTGCATGCATTTTGCTTCATGCATGCATGTATGTATGCATGCATGTATGTATGTATGTATGTATGTATGTATGTATGTGCGTCTGTATGTCTGTATGCCAGTATGTCTGTATGTCCGTCTGCCTGTCTGCCTGCCCTGCCTGCCTGCCTGTATGCATGCATGTATGTGTGCAGTGTAGTGTAGTGTAGCGTAGCATAGTGTAGTGGAATTTAATGTAATGTGACGTAATGTAATGCAATGCAATGTAATGTAATGTAATGTAGTGTATATCCATGTATGCACGCATGCACGTATGCACGTATGCATTAGATCATGTACGCATGTATTCATGTATGCATGTATGTGTGTATGTTTGCATCTATGTTGCTTTGCGCAGCATCTATGTATCTATGTATAGTATTATGTACCTATGTATCTATGCATGTAGGTCAGTGGGTGAGTATGTAGGTACGTTGCTATTTAGGTGTGTATGTTTAAGTTGAGCCAGTGTTCTGGCCCGTGGCACAGATTCAATATCAAAAAAGCTCATGCTGGCAGAAACAGTGATTGTATGCCTCAAGGAAAAAGGACACAATTTAATTGTTAAGAGAATGCAGACAGAGGTAACGGTAGTAAACGCCAAGTACGCTCAACTTATCGCGCTGAACGCGTGGAGCTCCGCTGTTCTCTTGTGCTCCCAAAAACATCGATCGCCTCGGAAGCCAAGCAGCCATCTCGCAAGGCCTCGGCATTCTCTCCACATCCCGCTGCCCTGCTTTGGGTTACACTGGCCAACTCAGGCCGGTGGAATTGCAGATTACAACATCACACGACCTCATGCTCGTGTCTAGGATGCCGACTGACACAATCGTGTTGACCTTGCTCTTCACGCCTGCGCCACCTGAGCAACAAGCTTTGCATGGGTTTGTCTCAAAATCCATGTGCTGGCCTCCTTGTGGTTCACTTGCTCTTCAAGCCAACCCGGGTTGACCCGCAAACTGACACACCCACGCAAGGGGAGCATGTCACTTGCCCGTGTTTCACCAAACAAACACTTAGAACGAACCTCTTCAGTCTTCGCCAGCAAATCCCGTTCTGCATGCAAATCCCAACAAATTGTTCAGGTCCCTCAGTAAAAAAAAACTCCCTCATGGTTTCTGAACCAAAAGCTGAAATAAGAACCACACGCTTTTGGCCCACCGCGCGTCCCAGGGCAATGTCACGGAAGTGCCCATCGGACCAATGTGCTTTCAACCTGGCCTAAAAGGGAGCTATGCAATGAAAACCCATCAGCAAACCCCTCGCTGCTTTACGAGGTGTCCCCAACTTGATCTGGAAAAGCAAAATACAACGGCGGTGAAGGGAAGCAACGAAATGAACCCGGGGTCCCCAAGTTCCCAAATATTGCTCCAAGGGGGGGTCAAAATAGGTGGCCCAAAAATGGTGGCGTTCCTTTTAGTTTCCCGTGCACCCCCCCCCCCCCCGAAAAACCAAGTACCCTCAAAACACACGCGCGCACACACACACACACCCTTTTGGGAGTTGACCCCCCCGGGCGAATTTGCGCCAAGCTCGCCGCGGAAGCGCTTCCAGGCAGCACCTAGCGGTTCACTCGCGAAGGCAGGTAGGTTCCAAAGACCCGGCGGAAGAAACATGGGCAATTTCTTTGTTTAGGGAAATCCCTTTTGCTTAGTACGGAGAAACCGAAAAGGGAACCCACAATTTCGGGGGATCCTTGACAAACCCATGGCTCCCCAACAGCCTGCGTTTCCTTTTGAGGTTTGGTCATCTGTCAGAGGCTCGGAGCAAACCCCTGAAACTGGTTCCGAATCTGGCATGTTTCAGGGTGCTCGCCAAAGTACCGACTCGCAGATTGCTTTTGATAACCCTCTCATACTCTTTGCACCACACCACACAAGCCAATCAGTGGTTTACAGCAGGCGCCGATCCTATGTGCCTTCAGACTGCCCAACGCTCGTCACATGCTGGCAGCTTTAAGGGAACCAGCCAACGGAAGCGGATGAGACTTGGCCAATGTGGCGTCGGGCGTCGCATGCCAAAGGATGCATCGCTGGACACTGAGAAGGAGAACCTCCTAAAACTTGGGATGTTGTCAAGGAAGGAGATGATGTTTGCACCCGCAAACCACCAGCTTCATCTCAAGAAATTGCCCAGAGCACCAAGGAGCACGGATTCTCCCCCGGCCCTCGGGCCTGCCGGAGCGGCTGCACGCTTTCCCATGACGCCTCACAGCTTCAGCTTGGCCCCTCGGCCCTACGAAGGATATGGTTCAAAATGGGTGCGTGTTTGTGTGTGTGTGTGCTTTTTTTGCGGGGTGCCCATTTTTGGGGGTTGGTTTGAAGGGAAGCCCAAAGGAAACCAACTGTTGGGAGCTCCACTGTTCTGAGACAAACCCAAATGGTCCTCTCTCTGTGAGGGTGCTAAAAAAGAAAAACACCAAGAAGAAAATAAGCGCTAAGCCATGCTTTCAGGAGGCCAACTTGTTTCGCACCCAGCCGAATGACAACTCCGCGAAAAACTACAAGAGACCAATCCTTTAGAACAAAGTACCTGGCTCTCTCCTTCGCCGTGAGGCCAACTTGCCAACCTTGCGGATTTCAAACGTGCGGCCATGCCACCTGCAAGAGGAAGCGGGGCTCCGCAACTGAAACTGATGAGGCTAAACGGCCAGCGGTGAAAGCAGCGGGCCAGTGCGAGCTCTATGTGCAAGCGCGGCAATTCCGAGGGTGCCATTGAAGCCCTTCGTTGACCTGTTCAGCTAGGCTCTTCACCTGCAACCAGTGTTTGTGCCTGCCTGGCACTACTGAGTCTTGTCATCTCAGCATCCAAACTGATGGCGCATCCTTAACAACGACCGTCGGGGCTTTGCGAGGCTTCCCACCTCCGGCGGTCTGTCCAATGGAAAACGTACTCGATCTCCAGGACAGACCTCAGCGGAACTGTCAGCAACTTACTGCGGTGCGACCAAAGGTCCAATTTGCAGGCAGCGTAATGACGGCAACTAATCAGAGGCTCCCAAAAAGTAGATGTGCGCTGCCCCAAATTAAATGGGGAACTGCCTCTGCTTCTTTTTGAAGCTCTTTTCAATCTTTAGAAGAAAAAAATGAAAAAAAGAAAAGAAAAAAACAACTACCTGCAAATGACCACGACTCCTCCTGCCCAAATCTGTGCGGTCCTGTTTCCGCCTGAGCGCTGGCAAAGGCGAGCGCACAAATAATCGGACTGCCAGAATATCTGCCCGGATGCCATTCCTCCAAGATGCAGGAATGCCATGCATGTAGAAGCGAGCAGTCGAACTGGCGCATCACGCTGCGGTGGATCCACACGAGCTTCTGTCAAAGCATATCATTCAGAATTCAACGCGTCCACATTTCCGAAAACAAACTTTAGTCCATCACAAAGCATGGTCTTGACAGGAGCTCACACTTAACCATGCACCGCTTGCGAGTCTTAAGCGAGGGCCCTCGCTTGATTTCCGCGTGCATCAGCCCTGCATGAGCTTAATTTGCATGATGTGCTGAATTACAAATTTCCAGGTAAGCGAGGGCCCTCGCTTGATTTCCGCGTGCATCAGCCCTGCATGAGCTTAATTTGCATGATGTGCTGAATTACAAATTTCCAGGTCTTCTTTGGCGTTGTCTTGCGAATTGGCCTCATCTCGCCGACCGCACACAACAACCAACCAACCAAACAAACCAAACCAAAGAAAACCAAACCAAACCAAGCCAAGCCAAACCAAACCAAGCCAAGCCAAGCCAAACCAACCCACCCACCCACCCACCCGCCAACCACCCACCACCGACAACAACAACAACAACAACAGCGACAGACAGGGAGGCAGCCACGCACCAACGCAAGCAAACAAACGAACGAACGAACCAACCAAACAAAACAACCGAACGAACAGACAAACAAATAAACAACCAAGCAAGCAAGCAAGCAAGCAAGCAAGCAAGCAAGCAAATAAAACAGCGAGGCAAACAGGAAAACAAACAAACAAACAACAAAAAGAAAAAGAAAACAAGCAAAACAACAAATAGACAAACAGAAACACAACCTGTGGGTATTCCACCTGAAAGTGGGAGCTGTGCTTGAGGAAGCTGTCTGCTTCCCAAAGATTTGCACGCAATTTACCTTGCGTATCCCTTTGACATGGGGTCAGCCAAAAAGGCGTGAATGGCCCTCTTCTTTGGATATCCTACATAGCGCACATTCCGGAGACGTTTGAGGTAGTGGTGTGTTGAGTACCGATTTGCCGCCGCGGCGCTGCTTGGTCCCTCGAAGCACCAAGCGCTCCTCGGCCCTCGGCGGAAGCGCCAGGGCCACAGTGCCCGTCGAAGCCGTTTCTGGCATGGCCTCGAGGGCCTGAAGTGCAATGGTCGTGGGGGCCTCGAGGGCCAAGGGCTTGACGTCGCAAATCTCCGGCAGGTTGCCCGCGGGAGGCTGCTTGCCCGTCCTGGGAGAGGCCTCTGTGGAACCTTGAGCCCAACATGCGGAGCTGAAGGCATGCTGCTGTTGCTCTTGTTGCTGTTGTTATTGTTGTTGCCGATGCAGTTGTTGGTTGTTGGTTGTTGGCTGTTGCTTGCTGGCTGTTGCTTGTTCGTTGTTGGTTGTTGGCTGTTGGCTGTTGGTTGTTGGGTGTTGGCTGTCGGCTGTGGGCTGCCGGTTGTTGGTTCTTGGTTGCTGGATGCTGGTTCTTGTTGTCGTTGCCGTTGTCGTTGTCGCTGTCGTTGTCGTTGTCGCTACTGCTGCTGATGCTGCTGCTGCTGCTGTTGCTGTTGCTGTTGCTGTTGCTGCTGCTGCTGCTGCTGCTGCTGCTGCTGCTGCTGCTGCTGCGGCTGTTGTTGTTGTTGTTGTTGTTGTTGTTGTTGTTGTTGTTGTTGTTGTTGTTGTTGTTGTTGTGGTTGTTGTTGCTGCTGCTGCTGCTGCTGCTGCTGCTGCTGCTGCTGCTGCTGCTGCTGCTGCTGTTGTTGTTGTTGTTGTTGTTGTTGTTGTTGTTG